CAAGCAGATATAGATCAGGCAGTGCTGGTCTAGATACATTCAACATGGATAATGAGCCCCCAGTTATTTTTGGCTAGTTGAAGAGTGATATCTACTGAGTGTTCTTCCTCATTCATGTTCTTCTTAATGAGTCTTTGCTTAGCCTGTACTAACATTACTCTCTTCTTTGAATAGACCTCAAATGAAAGAAGGAAAGATAGAATTGAGAGGGGAAGATGCGGCCGGGCGCGGTGGCTCACGCCTGTAATCCTAGCACTTTGGGAGGCTGAGGCGGGTAGATCACGAGGTCAAGAGATCAAGACCATCCTGGTCAACATGGTGAAACCCCGTCTCTACTAAAAATACAAAAAATCAGCTGGGCATGGTGGTGCGTGCCTGTAATCTCAGCTACTCAGGAGGCTGAGGCAGGAGAATTGCCTGAACCCAGGAGGCGGAGATTGCGGTGAGCCGAGATCGCGCCATTGCAATCCAGCCTGGGTAACAAGAGCGAAACTCCGTTTCAAAAAAAAAAAAAAAAAAGAAAAAAAAAAAAAAAAAAAGAGGGGAAGATGCTTATTGTATTAAATTTGGTTCAGATATAAACAGATAATCTGACTGTAGAAAATGTACAGTGAATCCTAAAAACACTGGATTGATAAAAGAGCTATCGATTGCGCCTCATCAAGCCTTCTGATTGAACTGATGAGAAATTTGGGGAACAGAGAGGTTAAGTAATTTGCTTATTTCGCACAGCTACATAGTGGCCTTGTTATTCCCTTATTCTGCAAGTTCTCTGTTCTTTTCACTGGGCCAAGGCAACTCTTGTAAGAAGTTCCGGTACTAGAATTCTGTTGTGCAACAGCTTTACAGACAAAAGGAGCCAATTATGGTAGAATTAACTTTGCACAAAACCACAAAGTGTATTGTATAAAACAGGAAGTTACCTTTTATAGGCCCAGTCTTCTGAACCTTTCTTATATTGTCTTTGGAAAAAAATATTGCTTTAGTTAATAGACACTTTAACCTTGTTCTTGAAATTACATACAGTTTTAAGAAACAAAAGGAAATATGCTTTCTTTTAATAATAGTCTTTTTGGAGGGGGTTAGGGTGTTGTAGTTAGGAAAGGGCTTTGCTTTTTAAAAACATCCTGTTTCTGTTTTGCAAAAAGCTTATGGGAGGATCAGTTGTTATCATCAAGATTAGCCCCTCTACCCCCCTAAAAAAAATCCATTTGAAAGTAAATAGAAATTTCTGTGAAGTGGGTTATTATTCTCATATTTAATAGATTTTCCAAGAATTATCTATTTCCACAGACACGGCATAGGTTGCATGAGTTGCTGTGGAAAGTGAAGTAATTTATTCTAGGAACCATGACTGCATGTTGTGAAAAGACTGCATTTTGTTAGCATAATTTCTGCGATGCTCTGTTGATGGGGTCTCTCAAATACTTCCTGGACCTGTTCCTTTCATTTCTTCTCCACTGTTCTAGTTCAGACTGTCGCCTGCACTTCCGTGGTTTTAGCCTGTTTCCATTCATCCGTCAGGGAGCACATGGCTCCCTGAGTGATTCTTCTGAAACAAACCCGATCGTGTCACTTCCTGGAACAATGCCCTGCCGTGTCCACTGTGTCTGCAGAGCGACGTGCAGGGCTTGGGTGGTGCTGTGGCAAACTCAGCCAGCCTCTCTGTTCTCACTCCAAGTCTTTGTTCAAATATCACTTCCTGAGGCCTTGCCTGACTGTCATCTAAATAATTATCATCCTTCTGGCCAGGCGTGGTGGTTCACGCCTGCAATTTCAGCACTTTGGGAGCCCGAGGCAGGCAGATCACTTGAGGCCATGAGTTCAAGACCAGCCTGGCCAATATGGTGAAACGCCATCTCTGCTAAAAATTAAAAAAAAATAAAAAATTAGCTGGGTATGGTCGAAGGCACCTGTAATCCCAGCTACTTGGGAGGCTGAGGCAGGAAAATCACTGGAACCTGGGAGGCAGAGGTTGTGGTGAGCTGAGATCATGCCATTGCACTCCAGCTTGGGCAACAAGAGTGAAACTTTGTCTCCAAATAATAATAATAAGAATAATCATCATCGTCCTTCTTTGTTTGTCTGATCTTTTTTGTTTTTCCCTGTAGCAGTTATCACTATTTAACAGGCTATATTATCTACTAATTAAAAACAAAACAAAACAAAACTCCATTAGCTCTTTCCCCCAATTAGGATGAGATCTCTGCCAGTGCAGGAATTTTGTTTTGTTTTGTTGCAGGTGCCTTCCTGTGCCTGGAACAGTGCCTGACGTGGAATGGGGGATCAGTACATATTTGGGGATGAAAGGGCGTGATACTGCCTGCTCCACAGTCCTGTCTCCCGTCCTCTCCCTTGAGGCATCTTGACTTTTCCCAAGGGTCTACCATGCCGTTTGCTGCGGGTACCTCCATGTTTAAAACCATTTCTACCTTCCTGAGTCTCTGAAGCCTGTGCTCCTATTTGCTCCTTTGGTTTCCTCTTTATTTTTCTTAATTTTTTCTTTTTGAAACAGAGTCTTGCTCTGTCACCCAGGCTGGAGTGCAGTGGGAGCTATCTCAACTCACTGCAACCTCCACCTCCTGGGTTCAAGCCATTCTCCTGCCTCAGCCTCCCAAGTAGCTGGGATTAAAGGTGCATGCGACCATATCTGGCTAATTTTCTTTTTTTGTATTTTTAGTAGAGGTTTTGCCATGTTGGCCAGGCTGGTCTCAAACTCCTGGCCTCAAGTGATCTGCCCACCTTGGCCTCCCAAAGTGCTGAGATTACAGGCATGAGCCACTGTACCCAGACTCTTTGTTTTCCTCTTATCCTCAGCTTCTCCGGGCAGTTCTGCTTGAGCCTCTCCTAATTTTCTGTTCCACTTTGAGGCACCCTGGCCCACCCAAGCTCACCTTCTTATCCTTCTTGATATTTGCCTTTTGTCCTTCCTGGGATTCCAGGTGCATTCTCAGTAGACCTGGTGGTGGTTGGGTGTGCGGTGTGATGGACAGGCTCGTTTTCAGGAGTCACTTGTCCTTGCTGGCAGCCGGTGGTATTTATATGTCTGTCCCCAGTGGCCAAGGTAGTGTCTGGTATAAATACATCAGATGTTCCTTTAAGACATACACAAGAAAATTGCATAGTATCAGCACTTGTTTAAAATTATATGTGTCTTAGAATTTGCTAAGAAAAGTTTATTATAAGCTCTTGAGAGCAGCTTTTCAGGAGGAATTAATTTGGAAAAAAATGATCCATGCCTAGGAATGCTGATTGCTCCATGGGCAGATGACTCTGTGGGGTTCCCGCCACTCCTTAGTTTAGCATTATTTCTTTTCATTGCCTCTTCCCCATAATAGATGCTCAGTTATTAAAAACTGATGATTTAAGAAAAAATATAAAAGTCATAACTGCATTGTGGGAAATGTGGATAATGGGGGAAAGGCAACTGTAATTGACTGGTTAGGGCATGGGTTCTGGAGCCAGTTGTGTGGGCTCAAATACCAGCTCCACCACTAGCAGCAGTGTGACGCTGGGCAAGTGACTTCATCTTTCAGGTTGCTTATCTGTAAGATGGGAACAGTAATAGCACCTACATCCTAGAGTTCTTACGAGGGTTAAATAAGTGCATGTTTGTTAAGTACTTAGTAATCACTGTAAGTGTTGGTAAAATAAAATAAACACAAATGCATGCTTACCATGATAACACTTCCTTTTCTTCTATTTGGGGGGACAGAAGCTCCTCCTCTTACCGACAGGTTTAGGTTCCCGACTGCTGAGAAGTTCATTTTAAGTTTAGTTGACCTGATGCATAACCAGTGGGTACACATACACACACATATATATATATTTTTCTCCGTCTTCTAGGTTGGAGTGTAATGGTGCCATCTCAGTTCACTGCAACCTCTGCCTCCCTGGTTCAAGCAATTCTCTTGCCTCAACTTCCCGAATAGCTGGGATTACAGGCATGTGCTACCATGCCTGGCTAATTTTTGTATTTTTAGTAGAGACAGGGTTTTACCATGTTGGCCAGGCTGGTCGTGAACACCTGGCCTCAGGTGATCTGCCCACCTTGGCCTCCCAAAGCACTGGGATTGTGAGCCACCATGCCTGGCCCACATACACAGAATTTTTTTTTTTTTTTAAGGCGGAGTCTCGCTCTGTCACCCAGGCTAGAGTGCAGTAGCATAATCTCCGCTCACCACAACCTCTGCCTCCCGGGTTCAAGCGATTCTCCTGCCTTAGCCTCCTGAGTAGCTGGGATTACAGGCATGCACCATCACACTGGCTAATTTTTGTATTTTTAGTGGAGATGTGGTTCCACCATGTTGGTCAGGCTGATCTTGAACTCCTGACTTCGTGATTCACCTGCCTCAACCTCCCAAAGTGCTGGGATTACAGGTGTGAGCCATCACACTAGGCCCAGAATTTTAATTTTTTCTCCACCGTAAGCCTCTGTCTCTTCTCACTGGGACACTGCTATTGCTTTTGCACTTACTGGACAAGATGGACAAGATGGAGTTAATTGTGTCCTTTAAACATCTCAAAAGTAAGCACACATCCACAAAACACACATGTACACACAGCACTGGAAAGCCGTTCATGAGCATGAGCTGGAACCTGGGACCTGAGAGGGCCAGGCTGAAATGTGGATCATGAAACACCGCTTGCTTTTTATTATTTTTTCCTGGACCGTGGTTCTGCTGTTATCTGTGAAAGTTTGAAATCTGAGAGCTTGTAAGGAGAGGGGCTTTCGTACTGGAACTGCTGGCAGCCTTGGTTCGTTTGGACATTCTCTGTGTGCCCTTCACGTGTTTGTACTCCTGTGTTCATAGTGCTGAGCTTCTTTTCATGGAGCTGTGTGTTTTGTTATGATCGTCGTTTTTGGGGCTCCATAATATGCCTTCAAGGCCCCTTTCTCCTGGATACATTCCGGGATTGTCTCCTCCCATCTTCTTCCCTGGTTTACCTTTGTTTGCTCCAGATGTTTTATTTCCTACCTTTTTCCTTCCATTGAGCACCCTTCTCCCCTCCAAATTCCCGGTATTTTCCCCCGAGGGAGCAGTGGAGGGAGAGCTGGGAGGGGAGAGCTTTCCACAGTGGGCTGCCGCCCTCTCCACCTCTCCAAGCCCATACCACCTGTGGCTTCTGGAGTCGGTGGACATTGTGTCCCAGACTCAGTGACCCAGTGACCCTGTAATCTCATAACCGCACTTCCTTACATGGGGCAGGGTGAAGGGTAGAGGATGCGTATCTTACCCTCTGTAATATGCCAGGTGCCCTGTAAACATTCTCGGGGGCCACTTGCGCATTTGGTAGGATGGATGCATTTGCTTATCAACAAGCAGTTTGTTTACAGAGTGCCTCAGCGCTCGCTCCCTACATGTCAGGGGCAATCCAGGTGAACTGGGGGTCCTGCTACCCACTGTAAGCTCCAGGTGTAGCACAGAAGACCATAGAGTGCCCCTGGCAGCCAGCCTTTCCTCTGCTGTGTGCAGCCCATGGGGGGAAATCTCTGGAACCTTCTGAGATGAGGTGCGGGCACATGAGTTCGGTGTTAGGTGATGTTTAGTTCTGCACCTGCTAATGCAGTGCGTTGGTTCACTGCTGAGAAAGAGGTGGTTCCTATGCCCAAATTTTTGTGTCCCTGTCGTCCTAGGAATCTGGAAGGCTTGCTCTTAGGAGAATGCAGTTCCATCCATCATTTGGTGGGTTATTTTAGCAAACTGATATCCACAGGGTAAAATGTAGCCAGCCTTCATAGTAAATTGCTCAGTTTGCCAATGTCCTCTATTAACAAAAAAAAAATCTTAGAACCCCTCTAGCTATGAAAAGATTCCTTCATTTGGTGTTATTTCCAGCTAAGCTTTCAGAAACTAAGCTCATTACATTGCAGATGATTCACTGGGGATATAAGATAACTTCATTTTTTTTTAAATTAAGAAAACCTTTGTTTTCATTATTAAAAACTGTTAAAAAAGGATTTCACTATTTTTAAAATTTCATTTTCATTATGAATAAAGCAAACCCAGTTTGTATGTTGGTCAGGTCATTGCTGTATATAACGTATTTTCTTACACTACCTGCCTTAAATTCACACATCTAGGAGGCTGTGGTTAAGATTGTGTTCACTTGCTTCCTCTGTGGTGCCCCGCACAGTGCCACAGTGAGCACATCATGCCCACAGGTCTTCAGGAGGGATTTTCTTGTCATTTCTGTGATTTTTTTGTTTTTGTTTTTGATATGGAATTTCGCTCTTGTTGCCCAGGCTGGGGTGCAGTGTCACGATCTTGGCTCACCGCAACCTCCACCTCCTGGGTTCAAGTGACTCTCCTGCCTCAGCCTCCCAAGTAGCTGGGATTATGGGTGTGTGCCACCACTCCTGGCTAATTTCATATTTTTAGTAGGGATGGGGTTTCTCCATATTGGTCAGGCTGGTCTTGAACTCCCGACCTCAGGTGATCTGCCTGCCTCCGGTTCCCAAAGTGCCGGGATTACAGGCATGAGCCGCTGTGCCCAGGCTTTCTGTGATTCTAAAACAATCTGAAGAAACTGTTTTGGACCCAGTACACTGCGTTTTACCAAGACTTTCCACATTTTAAATCAGGAAAGTCCTGGTTTAAGTTATTTGTATCATTGATGTTAACATCTACACCTCAAACCCTGTGCCCTCATTTTTGCCTCAGAAAACATAAGGCCCTGTGCTGAGAATTTTGAGTGAAGGAGCAATAATCTTTCATTTCCAGGGCACTTCTCTCTTGCACCCTCTTTCCCTTGACTTAGTCATGAACTTGGCTATGTAATAGCAAAATGCCTAGGTTGCTGTTTGCCGACCCACCCTGGATAGCGTTCTAGTTCATACTCTGAAATAGGTATTCTCTTTTTTTGTAGTGTGATTGAGAAATAGCTTCCTGTCCTCTCCAGAGTGTCTGGGATAGTACTTTAGCTACAACAGGTGGATAATTCGATGCACATTGAATTAAATTTCAGTGCTATGTACCTGGTGCATTTCCTGTCTCTTCCTACTTGTTTTTGGCATGAGTTTCCAGCTTTTTCTCTACCATTGCACAAATGGGTAACATCCTCTTTCATGAACTTTCCTTTAATTTGTTGGTTTTTTTTGGAGATGGGGGTTTCACTACATTGCCCAGGCTGACCATGAACTCCTGAGCTCAAATGATCGTCCTTCCTCACCCTCCCAAGTAGCTGGGATGACAGGTGCAGAGGTAGGCCACCCACTGCACCTGGCATGAACCTTCAATTTTGACAAAACCTCCAAATATTTGTTTGTTTGTTTGTTTTTGAGACACAGTCTCACTCTGTTGCCCAGGCTGGAATGTAGTGGTGCGATTGCAGCTCACTGCAACCTCCGCCTCCAAGGTTCAAGCAATTCTCTTGCTTCAGCCTCCCAAGTAACTGGGACTACAGGCGCCCGCACCACAGTTGGCTAATTTTTGTATTTTTAGTAGAGGCGAGGTTTCACCATGCTGGCCAGGCTGGTCTCAAACTCCTGACTTCAGGTGATCCGCCCACCTCCACCTCCCAAAATGCTGGGATCACAGGTGTGAGCCACTGCACCCAGCCCCAAATGTTTTTTTAAAGATATTTTATCAGTATGTAAGTCACAAAATATCCCATTGGTAGATATTGGTGCACTGTATTCTTTTCTTTCTTCACCTCTGCTTGCCTGTTAGCTGATTTAAACTTCCGTCTACATGTGAAATAGAAGGGAACATTGAATGAATGAGAGACACCGGGAGTAATGGCAACCAGGGAGCAGCCATAACTGGCTCTGATGCTTAGACACAGCCACGCAATGTTTTTAAACCACCACGGCCATGTGGTGTTTCTCTCATTCATTCAGACTGGTCTCGAACTCCTGACCTCAAGTGATTCACCCCCGCCCCCCCCAGCCTCCCAAAGTGTTGGGATTACAGGCAGGAGCCACTGCGGCCAGCTGCATTAGTCTTTATTCCTGGTATTTTCTGTTATCAACATTACCTTGCATCCTGAAAGTTATAATTAAATGGTAGCAACACTAATAGGGTTCTGTTATTTTTAAACAATTAAAAAATAATTTAATATTAATATGATTAAACCGCTCTGATTTTTTTTTTTTTTGATTGCTCTTAGGTAATTTTTTGCAGCATGAATTAAGAGAAGAGACACTTCCTCATCAGGAATGGAGAGTACTTTGTCAGCTTCCAATATGCAAGACCCTTCATCTTCACCCTTGGAAAAATGTCTTGGCTCAGCTAATGGAAATGGAGACCTTGACTCTGGTAGGATTTTGTTTTCTAGATTCATCTGGCTTTTTGATGAATTGATCAGTGTCTTCCTGAAAATATTCAGGAAGTAATGGGGCAACATTTCTAGATCTCACATACGATTCAATTTTATTGATTGATTGATTGATTGATTGAGGCAGGATCCCACCTGTTGCCCAGGCTGGAGTGTGGTGGCACAATCATGGCTCACTGCAGCCTTGACCTCCTGGGCCCAAGTGATCCTCCCACCTTAGCCTCCACAATAGCTGGGACTACAGGTGTGTGCCGCTGTGCCTGCTGATTTTTAAATTTTTTGTGGAGATGGGGTCTCACTGAGTCGTCCAGGCTTGTCTTGAACTGTTGGGCTCAAGTGATCCTCCTGCCTTGGCCTCCCAAAGTGCTGGGATTACAAGTATGAGCCACCACACCTAGTCTTGATTGGATTTTAATTATTTAACTAATGAAGTTATAAGTGCCTAAATGCATCTTTTTCTAAACACTTAGACAACAAAGTGTTTATTTAAGAAGGATGCTTTTTTTTTTTTAAAGGGTTACATTGTTTCTACATACCAGCAAATTAATTAAGGACAGTTTAGCCCTCTGAATTGTAAACATTTGCTATGGTCAATTCCTATAAAAAATGTTGCTTATCAAGTCAGCAGGTCATTTGACCATGATCCAAAGAAGTCACAAAGTTTGTCTTCACATTTTGATGAGACCCCAGTCAATGACAGATTACAGATTGCTCCACATCACTGAATTTATTAGGCTACATTTATAAAATTATATCTTTATACGGAAGAATACCTGGGAAACCTCACATGGCTGAAGGCCTTGCTGTGTTGAAAGATGTTAATGTTTCCAAATCAGCTCAGTTGTCCCTCTTTCGGATTTTTCCACACATAGCTAAATGTGGGAAAACTTCTCCCACAAGTAGAGCTGAATCATTGTTTCTTCCTGGAAACATGGAAATTATTTTCTGAGAAGGCGTAAGTGTATAGGCTGAAAGTTCATCCTAACTGTTTTGTTTTATTTAAGTACAGATTTATCCGTTTAAAAAGTCTTTCTTATGTTTGCTGAGTGAAGTTATTTTTCCACTTTTGGAGTTCCTAAGCTTTCAGGGTATTTTTATAGTGTATCATCTTCACACATCAGAAGAATATTATTGCGTTGTTTCTCGTAGTATGTTTTCAAACCTGTTTAAAGCAAACACCAACTGTGCATTGGCTTTTTGTGTGCACACAGTTGCAGTGTATCTCTCTTAAGTAGATTCTGAAACTCATTAATGATCATCTGGTGTCAGGAAAATGATTTGTACTAACTTCATTGAGGGTGGTTCTAGGGACGGCAAGTGTGAGAGTGAGAATCATTATATCCTTGGCTGGGGGAGTCCATGCAGAAAGCCCATATAGGAAGCCCACATATATTCACATCACGATTGGTTCCTTGCTCTTGCGTGGGGGATGGCCTAAATCATACACAATGTTCAGATCTTTAATGGATATACTATTTCTAAATGGTTCTAAATTATCTTAACAGTTTTCAGATATAGGCCCAGATTTTTTTCCACCCCCATGTGGCTAATCTGTCCTTTCTCCTTGAGATTTCTGTGTTTACTTGTGCAATGAGGAGAGTTTTAGATGGCTCTACAGACAGACTCTTTAAAGAGGGTACAAATTTAAAGCAGAGTCTAAGACTTTACAGAGGACAGTGGCTTGATTCACTCTAGAAACTCAATCTAGTTTTGAGCATTTTGATTCTACAAGTGGTTTATTATTTTTTTTACTAAAATCTAGTTTTGAGCATTTAAACTATTAAGTATGCTTCTTCAAGCAGTTTATTATTATTTTTTCCAACCTGCTAACCCACAAAGTATTTCCATTCCTGGAATCACTTGGTGAGGTATTTGGTTCTGGGGCCAGCTGGGACAGGCTTGGGCTGTGCAGAATCCTAGTGCTGAGGGTCTTCTTCTGGGAAGCGTTTTCAGATGGGATTTACTCATCTCACGTACAGGAGGAGGTAAACCCAGTGTTCTTCAGCTGGTTCTGAATGGACTTGTGACAATAGGTGTACGAGCACGAGTTCAGACTGTGTAGCAGGTGCAGAAAATTTTAAGTTCTTTGCATGTGTTATTTCACCTAATCTTTCAACAGCACACTGGCATAGCTGCTTTTATTGTCCCCATTTTACAGATGAGGAGACTGGACAACAAGGTGAAGTCACTTGGGCCCTGTGTTGGTAGCAAGATTTAATCTCAGGCCTTGTGAGGCTGTGGGTTTGGTGCTCCAAAACTCTGGGGGATATGTGCCCCTTCAAGTGCACAGATGAGTCATCAGGAAATCCTGACACTTAAACCCACACTCACACCCACTCCACAGCCACACCCCCACACCCCCACACTCACACCCATCCCTCCACCCATCCACTCACACCCACACTCACACCCATCCACACCCACACTCATACTTATCCATCCACCCATCCACACACACACACCCACCCATTCACATACACATCCATATTCATATCCCCCCCGTTCACCCACACATACACACCCACCCACCCACCCACCCATACACACACACCCACAGACAAGTTTGGGGGCACAGACACAGCTTAGATTCTTTGTTGTTCTTTCCTAATCTTTCCTCCTGTGCCACCTCCCTGTGTCCCGTGATACATTACTACAGGGGTTCCCAACCCCCCCGACCATAGCTTGGTACTGGTCTGTGGCCTGTTAGGAACCAGGCCACACAGCAGGAGGTGAGTTGCAGGTGAGTGAGCTAAGTTTCATCTGTATTTACAGCCGCTCCCCATGGCTCACATTACTGCCTGAGCTCCGCCTCCTGTCAGATCCACGGTGGCATTAGATTCTCATAGGAGTGCCAACTCTATTGTGAACTGTGCATTTGAGGGATCTATGCTATGTGCTCCTTGTGAAATCGAATGCCTGATGACCTGTCACTGTCTCCCATCACCCCCACATGGGACTGTCTAGTTGCAGGAAAACAAGCCCAGGGTTCCCACTGATTGTATATCATGGTGAGATACAGAATTATTTCATTATATAGTACAATGTAATAATAATAGAGATAAAGTACACAATAAATGCAGTGCATTTGAATCATCCCCAAACCATCCTCCCATTCTGCGTGTCTGTGGAAAAATTGTCTTCTATGAATATGGGAATTCACTCAGGTTGGTGGAAAAATATTAATGGAAAAATAGTAGAGAAAGTTACAGAATATAGTCTCAAACCCTTTTGGAAGTCCTAAGGTAATTTCTCTAGAAGTTTTGGCTGAAGGCAGCCTAAATCCCCTTTACCTTTAGTTAATAAGTAAAGCAAATAGCTAGGGTATGTGGGGGAGTTTATCTGAATAGCTTGTTTACTTATGTGGTCTCAAAACTAAACTTTGAGCCAGCAGCGCCCTCGGGGGGAGGTTGACCAGGGTTATTACCCTCTAATGGTGTTTGCTTTGGGCATTGGAACCTGTGCTTTAATCTTCAACCTCTAGTGATGTTGACTGAACTCTTTGTCAATTAAACTTTACTAACTAAATGTGAGTCTCACTGACCGGTGGTTGCACAACTGTAACAAACAGCACTCTCCAGGGAGTCTGTAAGCTGCCTGGTCCCTCAGCCGAACTGACAAAGCATAATACCTGTGTGTCAGTGTGCTTTATCGCTGAGTCGGGGTCTGCAGGACAGAGCCCCGCAGGTAGTGACCCTGACAGTGGCGCCCAGTGTCAGGCGACTCCACCAGTGGTGCTGAAACCGGTGCCTAATTGTCTTCTACAAAACCAGTCCCGGGTGCCAAGAAGGTTGGGGACCACTGTGTTACTCTCTCCCTAACAAGTGACTACACTCAGGGGACTAAAGTTTTTCCTTGAGAAAATTATGGAGTGGTGTTTTGTCTTATGTTTAGTTTTTGCCACTGCCCATCTCCAGATGCTATGATGCTATGTTTCTTTGCAGTGATGCTCCTCGTGGAAGGAAGACTTCTGCTGGCCTCAGTCTTATTACCAGTTTTTTTTTTTTTTTTTTTTTTTTTTTTTTTTTTTTGGTGGTGGGGGGCCTTTTTCTAAGGAAAGCTTAAATCACAGTTGAGATCAATAACCAACACCCAAGCCCTATAAATGAAATAGGCACAACATAAAATTACTCCTTCTCCCAGGAACACTGACTATGTGACTAGAACAAGCCCAGGGAGAGGAAATAGCCCTGGAGAGGCAGCCTCCCCAGCAGATGCCACAGACAGCATCGTCCTGGGGCACACCAAGAAGGAAGTGCGTGGAAATTCCAAGGCTGGGGTTCCAGGCATTGTCAGTTGCTCTGATAAAACAAGCAGAACAATATGCTGACATAGTCTTCAGTAGATTCCTTGACATTATTTTTATGGGCCCGCTAAATGAAATTTCCTGATGAAGTCTATAGATAAAGTGGCATTGCACATTTAGACAGAGCAAGCCTCGGTAGAGAGAATTATGCCGAAAATGTGGGCTTGATTCTTTTTTTTGGCATTTGGACTATATTAACTGGAGAACCACAGGCTCTTCTATTTGGGAAGGAAAGGAGTCAACATTTTTCTTAGAATAAATCAAGCCTCACTCTTCATGCTGGGAACTGGTCCTGTGTGACTCAGTGATATTCTCTTTTTTTTTTCCTAATCCTCCTTTGAATAGTTGTGGCTTCTCCTGGCTAGGGGATTTTTATGTGTTTTTTTCCCCTAGAATAACTCTGGCCATCGGGTAATCAGATGAGTCAGGAGGACCTTTGTGCCGTGAGGACTGTCCCAGCCTGCAGGGTTGCTCTGCAGCTGTGAGCTCGGATTCTAGGCGAGTGGCCACGATTCTTTTCTGAGTTGTTTGCACTGATGCTTCCGATGAATATATTCAAGGTGGAACTGTTTTCTAAATCTTATGATAGTATAAAATGACTGTCAGTATTTACAAGAAGAAAGACTTAATGCCTTCTTTCTTTCTCTTTCCACAGTAAAAAAAAAAATCTTACATCTAAGAAGGTGCCAGTAAGCATTCACCCTGAATCTGCCAATCCCCAGCTCCTTTATTGGTGTAGTGGGTGCAGGCTTTAATATTCAACCTTGTAAAGTTAGCCTTGTTCCACATTGTAAAGTTGTACAAACCCAAGATTTTATTACTTAAACAAAGATGTATGGGCCGTTTGTTTCTTCCATTTTTTTCACTCCTATGTCACTTGTACCCCAGCTTCTAG